ACAAGGTCGAAGTGATTGTTCCTCCCTCAGAATCCTGTGTAGCCGAGACCATGGGAATATGCTTCTGCATCTGCTATATCTTTTTAACATTTTTAATATTTTCATGAAGATTCTTACCAATCTGAAATTCATACACATAAAAAAATTAGTCAATATATTCAGTAGCTATTGAGTGAAGCATCTTTTTCCTTTTACAAACAGGACGTTTAGAAAATACACTAATGAAGGAAGACACAGAAAACTTGTATTGTTTCCATAAAATGTGCAACTAGGCAATAAATATATAAATAATAATATAAAACATAAATAAATAAAGTAACAAGATTTCTAAATTAAGTATAAAGAAATTTTCTGTAAATTTGCTGGCAGTAAAGTCTTGGTGCATATTTATTTCAGATTATACCTGGAAGGGTTCCTTTTAGCGCCCTAGAAATCATATGATAGTCCTGATGAGGAACAGCTAAGGGACTCACTCAAGGCACACATCTATTCATGCCATCTGACAATAACTCTTGCTCCATTATAATAATCACCAGGCTCCAACTTGGGTGTTCAGATTAAGCTTGCCTTTGGCATCATACATCAACACAGGATTAGTACAAGTTCTACCATCTGTGCTTTGTAGGTAGCATAAAACTGGCAGAGGTCAGGTGGTCTAGACCCTTAAAGCTTTCTGAAGTGAGGGGTGGGTGACTGCTCAGAGAAGAGCACAGCAGCAGCTCAGACCTCCCATCGATGACATATTTCCAGGTCACTCAGTCTATAAAATGTGTAGGATAGGAGGAGGTGATTGAGCTTTCCTGAGCCCTAGAATAATGCCACCTCTGATCTGCAGAAATGAAAAAAAAAAAGAAGCTTTTCCTTTGCAAGTGGATTTTTAAATATTTCTCCATTAATAGTTAATGCACAAGCAGACCATCAGAGTGACAGATCCCTGCGATTATGAATTCTGGCTTCGTAACTCTAGTCCAAATAGGAGCTGAACTTTCAAAATCACGGTGGTTACTTTTGACAAATTAAATTGTCCTACTTAGGAAGGTAGAAAGAACGAAGAGCAAGACTGTGAGACAGAGAGAGGGAGCAATTTCTCCTTGACTGGGGAAGAAAAAAAAACAAGAAGGGATGATGTTTGTATTTTCTGGGCTGAAGGTACTGCCAGTGTTTATTAGAAAATAGACACAGAAGACTCTTATTCAGAGGTAGGGCAAGAGAGAAGGGCAATTTGAAAATAGACACAGAAGACTCTTATTCAGAGGTAGGGCAAGAGAGAAGGGGGCAGGGAAGATGCTGCTGGTTCAGCTTACCATCTCAAAACTGGAAAGAAAATGTAATTGAGAGAATAGTTCATTTTTAATAAGAATCGAGTTTTTCTCAAAATGATACAGTTTAAAATTAATTAGAAAGAACGGGGTCTTAAATGTCTAACAATCTGGAAACAAGAAATGGATTAAGTGCACTTTATACTTTATGGCTGTATTGAGGCTTCTACACTACATCATCGGTATCAAATGCTATTGATACATCAAATGCCTATCAAATGCCATTCTTGCCCTGCACATGATCCTTTGTATTTGGCTGGCTTTGGAGAAACAGCATATAACAAGAGTAGCCTACACGGAAAGTGTGCTGAGTGAGTGGTTCCATATCTAGCTGTTAAGAGTAGGTGGTTTTCTAGCAGAGACCAAAAATATAAAAGCAAATGGGGACAACCAGGAAATCAGCAGCTAGTGGAAAATGCTAAGTGAACATCACTTTCTCAAACTAGAAAACCAAGGTTTTCTCTAACATTTCTAAATGTGGACCTTGGGGCTCACTTAGGACTGACTATATAAATACATAAACAATCTGGAAACAAACATCTGTGCCAGGGAAAGAGTTGGGTAATGGAGCACCAAGCTACCCAGGGACAGAACACAAGGACTTCAGATGCAGTGATAGGAGGAATGATGGCTACCCTTGCCCATGCTTGCTTTAGTTTTTACCTTCACTCAACTCAAGAGTTCCTTTAGGAATCTCACAGTCATCCATTTCAACTATGTCACCTAGTAAGAGCTTCATTTCTATTTTTCATTGTTGTCTGTGGTTTGAACCCAGGGGCCATGCAAGCACTCTCACAAAGCTATTCTCTTGCTGGGATTATAGGCGCACATTAGGCACGCACTACCAGACTTGGCATGTGTGTGTGTGTGTGTGTGTGTGTGTGTGTGTGTGTGTGTGATAACTGTAAGACATTTCCCCTGATTTTAACACTTTCAATAAATGAAAAGGACCAGCAAGATAACTCAGCAAGATACTTGGTGCCAACACTGAGGTCATGAGTTTGAGCCTTGGCTCCCAGATGGTAGAAGGTAAGAACTGATTCCCTGAAATTGTCCTGTGACCTCCACATGTGCAAAGTGGCTTGGCTCCCAGATGGTAGAAGGTAAGAACTGATTCCCTGAAATTGTCCTCTGACCTCCACATGTGCAAAGTGGTACATGAAAACACACACACACACACACACACACACACACACACACACACACACACACACACACACACACAATGTAAAAAATGTAAAAAGGAATGAAGATGGGTTAAGTAAGGTAGGTTAGGAAGTCTCTGAAGTGGGTTCAGATCTTCCATTGTCACAGGCTCAGCAGTAAGAATAATAACTGTCTCCTCTAATGGGAGGCATGGTCCCATAAACTCCAATCGTCCTCTGTCCCCAAACACCAGTGGTGCTTTTAGTAAAACTTTTGATAATGCATTGATAAACAGGGGTGATGGCAGACAATGTGGAAATTAAAGACAATCAAAGGGGTTTCCTGGCATTTGAAAGCCCAAGAAGACCTGCCTGCAGAGCAATTAAAGAGCTCCAATCCTCCAGGACTCTCTTCGATCGATAGGCTACAAGTTTCCTCTACTAAGTGATCAGTTTGGTGGATTCCTGAAAAAGCAGATTAGAACAGAGGAATAGAGTATTGAAAATGCTGACCTGACCCAGGAGGCCCTAGGGATTCTTGGGCAAGACCTCAAACTAAATCTCAGTCAGTTTTTCTAATCTAAAAGCCACACTTCTACAGGATTCCTAACACCATATCCTCAGGATTGCTTTGGAAGTTTCCAGACCTCTGCAACTGTTTGGAGCTCACACCAAGACCCTTGCACACCTGTAGCATTCTCCTCTGGTTTCTTGGCAGTGTTTTCTTTACAAACCAAATGCAAAGAGAATATTGGTCTATGTTGAACACCTAAAAGCAGAAGCATAGTGACAGGATGAGTCACAGAGGAAAACAACACAGTATGGAAAATGTTTGGGAAATTTCTCTAACCCAGAAGCCCCTGGTGGGTGGAATAATCACCCTCAGTGTGCCGGAGTGGGCATTCTCAGGCGAAGCACTTACAAGGAAACGGCCAGAAAAAGACAACTGCTTTTTGCATTCAATGACTTCCTATTAATTGTGATGTAAATTATGTGGCTGTGATTTTGACAAAGAATAGCAATGTTTCAGAAAAATAGTGGCTTATATGCAAAATACAAAATGCATCAAGAAGAAAAGAAATGTTACTTGGCAATGTGACGACAATAAGTTCTGAGATACTGGTTTAGAAATACAGTATTTTTTCTAGCACTAAATTAATACAGATTTGTAAGCATTTTTTAGATATAATTTTTGATCCTTACAGGAGATGTGAAATAGCCTAGCTTTAGTTACATGAGTTGGAAACTGTTACTCAAACAACGTTATTTCAGAAAATATTTTGGGTAGTGCGGACAGCTCTACTTACAAGAAATAGAAAAGTCACCGAACAATATCAGGGCTGGACAGAATTCTTCAGAGAGTAAAATGTCCCCATTTACTGAGTCCCTAGGGTGCCTATATCTTTTCTTTACTAAGATTGTTCCCAAAGGACAACAATTAATGTCAATCAAACACTATCATAGTATATGTCTCTCTCCTTAGAGGAGGGAAAGTTAAAATACTTTATTAAAGAAAGTTTACCTAAAATGGTAAAATTGAAGAAGGTAACTTTTATTTGACCTTGAATGTACTTCTTATTCTCTAAGAATTTTTAAAAAGCTAGAGGGTAGTTGTTTCTTGTCATTATACTGTTGCTGATTCTGTGGTTAGTTATTAATTTTATTTTTTATGATTCACAATCTGCTCTTTGAAATATGCCATATGCTCAAAGCAATTCAAGGATGACAACTGTCAGAATTACTCCAATAAAAATTGCTTAAATGAGGAAGATTTACTGCAGCTGATATTTCAGTAGAACGTCCCTCTTTTTTCCCCCACAGCTTTTGCAGGGACTGTGAATCTTACAGCCATTTTATTTTTCCCCAGTAAAAATCACATGATTGTTTTGTAAGGACTTTTTAGGACTATTGAAATAGAATTGGTAAAAACACTCTAGGTTAAGGAGGGATCTAGCTAGCAGACATGGAAGTAATATAGATAGTTATCAGTTGGATTTCCTAAATTCTAAGCACGAATTCTTAAACTACCTGAAAATGCACAGACTTGACAACAAGGTCTGCTGTATGTGTTACTCACATACCTTAGATTGCACGAGCCTGTACTTTGGTAACAAGAAGTCAAAATGAAGGCAAATTTCTTTCTTCTGGGAAGATATAAAGAAGTGGATCCAATCCACCTGAGTGCTCCAATCAAAACACACACTGTTAAATGTTACCCTCCATCTATCCCTGGTACTGTTTCAGTCGTTTTTATTAATGCAGTTTCATTTATTGCTATTCATCTTGAAGATAAAGCTCTGTCCTTCTTTGGAATTACACCAAACGGAATGTGATAAAGGGAACTTTCTTGCAATTATGATGTCGGTGCAGCCTGTCAGTACACTAGGGATGGAAATGAGTTTGGGGACAGGGGAGGGAATTCTAATAGACACCATGATACATACAATGAACACAAAGGTATCCTGAGAGAGAGGAGACTTGTCAGGCTAATCAGATCTTCCACAGCAAAGGAAACGCAGGGAAGGGTAGCTCTAACCTTGTAAAGATGCTGCTGCTGCTCCTCTGACATCATCAGGTCGTGGCTGTCCATCACCAGGGACTCCATGTCAATCAGCCAATCCCAGAGCTCCTGATATTCTGAATCAAAGTCCAGAAGCCTGAAGATAAGGCACAAAAATGTATTATGCATAAATACAGTGTAGTTGTTAAAATCTCATATTAGAATAATATATTCTTGAAAACCCATGGTGTTCCTAGGTGAATACCTGTAAAAAGAGAAGGGGGAAAAATCCTCTGTATGGTTACACAGAGGGCAAAGTAGGAACTTAAGGCTGTGACACAGCTACTTCCTAGATTTTGAAAGCATAACATGTAATTCCTGTACTCACTCCTGAGCCCCACCATGCTGATTTCCACTTGCTTGACCTTTCTAAACAAAGAGACCATGACTATGTCCTTGAAGAGAAGCACTATCACTTCCCAGACAGAAATGGAGGGTCAGGGACTTGCTGAAGTTTTCATGGTCCCAGATTTGGAGTAAAGACAGCACTTTCAAAAATCTGAGTTGCTTGCTCATTTAAATTTCCTAGATGTTGCACCTCGATAAATCTATTCTTAAAAATATTAACTGGATTTTTCAACAATGATAACATATGCTAACAGATCAAAAATATTATTTTCACTGGAAAATGACTCAATCATTCACCTGTCCCCCTGCTGTCTATCTGCCTATCTCTGCAAACACGTATCCTACATTTATTGTCATGGATGAGTAGCTAGCATTTCAGCTTAACACTCAGAGATAGGCTTGAGTGACTCTGGTAAGCCAGTGAGAACCAGTGGCAGATCCAGTATTAGACAGGTGTTCCCCACAGACATGCAGGAAACAAAGGTAAGGACAGAAAGTCAAAACAATGAATCTTTGAATAGGCAGCAATCATTAAAATTCAAAGGAGGATCACTATGGTTTTCAACAAAATAAATCATTAGAATAAGGAGCTTAACAGGATTAATGTGATTCTCTATTGAAAGCCTGGTGAATAAGTAAAGCCCAGATTCTTCTGAAACACTGTGATCAGAAAATGAAAAGTATGACTTTGTCCTCCCACCTCCAAACCACCCTTAAGAGAAATGCTACGGCTTTGTCAAACTCAATGGAGGCAAAGTCTCCATTAGTGCACATGGAAGTAGTGACCTCAGCTATGATGTGGATGGGTCAATGGAGTATGAATTACTCCTCTGTTCTTGTCAGATGGCTATTCAAGAGAATGCATATCATAGATATGTCAAAGAAGTTTCTGGTGGGTCTGGGAGTGGAAAGACTTAATCTGGAACTGCCTATTTTACTTTAATTGTTTTTACATCATTACCAAGATTCTTGATTGTGGAACTGATTAGTAAGTGTTCAGATGCCAGTGGTATGTCTAGATGCTGCAGGGACAAACTTCAGCTGGTGTATGGTGGCCTACAACAGTGCTTCTCACATTCAATGAAGATATGGGCACAACTGACAATCCTAGAAAAATGAAGGTACTAACTCATACTTAGGCAGGAAGATGAAATCCTGCATTTCTAGCCAGTGTTGTCAACACTTTTGATCCACAGACCACACTCTGAGTAGCCAGGGGTTTCAAGTATATTTGTGAAATCTGAATTAGTATCCCTACACAACAACAAACCAACACTATAGGAGGATAAACAAATCATCAAGATTTCAAAGTTAGTCTATGAATAATAAAGAGAAACTACTTAGGATTTATTTGTGTGGCCACTTAAAAATACATGTGAAATTATGACTACCATTTCCTTCACCTCTGCCTTCTAATATTTGAACAATAAAAATTGGGGAAAAGCAAAATGCAACCCACAAAAATTGGGGAGTAGGTTATGGAGGCATATCGAAACCAAAGGGAGAAAGAAATAAATGATCAGCTCTTCATTTAAGTGGGCTTGGAGGACATGAACCAAGCAAAGACAGGAGGAGCAGATACTCTAATGTATTTCCCCATCTCTGTTTGCCCAAGTGCTAGAGAGAAAGCACGTGAGAAAGACTGATGATGAGGTAAAACACCCATAACCCTCAGTCCCCTTTCCTGCTAGGAACTACAGAAGAGATTGTCTTCTGCGGTACACTTGGAATAAGCAGGAGTGGGTGAGGATGGAAGGGTGAGAGAAAAGTAGGGGGGGGGGCTAGTTTTGATTTAGGCTCCTGTTGACATTCTGTTGCCTAATCTTCTCCAATAAATGACTCCAAGATTTCTGCAAGTTCAATGGCTAAGCTGGACAGAAGTGTCACCATGGCAACAAAGGCACAGTGAACCTAAGGACAGGCAGGTGGGGGTCCAGCATGTGATGCCAGGCTTCTTTGAAATTTGGTAGGACCCATGAGGGTTGAGATGAGGCTTAGTCACCTAGAATTCCACTAGGGCCTGACCAAGCTTAGAGACAGCAAGAAGTAAAACAACCACAGCTGTCCTCAAGGTGAAACTGGCCTGAGACAATCAAGTTAGCCTGTACCAAAACCCTATACTTAGCCATTGCATTCAAGAAACACAAGGCCATGTAAACTTCCATTTGCTCAGCTGTCTGTCATCTTGAAGAAAAGAGTGGAGAAAGGAAGATCTGAAAACCTGTGCATCAACCAAGACATTACTTCCTAAGGAGAATGAATAAATTAAGGAGGCTATCATATAGTTGAAGCTTCAATGCTGGTCTTAAAATGCATCCTTCCCTTATTCTCTGAGGTGTTCTAGTATGGTTTTGGTTCTGTGATTGTGGTAGTTTGAAAGAAAATGGCCACCAAAGGGAGTGGCACTATTGAGAGGTGTGTTGGAGGAAGTCTGTTACTCTGAGGGCAAGCTTTAAGGTCTCTTTTCTCAAGCTTCTCCTCAGTGTGACAGTTGATTGACTTCCTGTTGTCTGTATAACATAGCACTCTCAGTTCCAGCACCAAATCTGCCTGCGCACTGCCATGCTCTCCACCATAATGATAATGGACTGAACCTCAAAAACTGCAAGTGAGCCCCCTGAGTTAAATGTTTTTATTTATAAGACTTGCAGTGGTCATGGTGCCTTTTCATAGCAATACAAACTCAAACTAAGACAGTGATGAACACCATGACCAAAAGCATGCAGGGTGGAGGGTGTTTATTTCTTACATATTACAATCCATTGTGAAGGGAAACCAGGACAGGAGCACAGTGCAGAAACCTTGAGTCAGGAACTGAAAGCAGAGGCCATGGGGGACTTTTCTTAATCTTAGCCATTCTGATTGAGGCAAAATGAAATCTCAAAGTAGTTTCAATTTACACTTTTCAGGGAGTTAGTGGGCTAGTCTTCTTTTTCAGTATATTTTAAGGATAGTTTTGTTTATTTAAACTGATCACATGTATTAGTGCTTAATTGATTGGTCACCTTCCTAGTCCTTTCATCCACTTTTCTACAGGAAAGTTAAAGAAAATTTATGAACAAGAGAATGATTAATGAATAGACTTGAAATAAATGAATAAATGCAGGAACATAAAAGGCTTTGAACCATGGAAATTTATCCACTGACTTTCACTAAGCCTGTCAAACTCTTCCTTTTTATTATTTCTTACCAACCAAGAACCTCAGAACAAATTGTCTGTTGCTGTTGAATACAGCTTGGGCTCTTAGTCCACACTGGAGACCTGAGCATGTGGGAGGAGCTTCATAAGGATGCTCTGTGCATCTCCAAGATACTCTTCTCTTTTACAGCTATGGATATTTAGGTTTGATATTGCATTTGTAAGATGTGTTTTATGCTACCAGGCAGTGGTGGCTCACACCTTTAATCCCAGCACTTGGGAGGCAGAGGGGAATCTCTGTGAGTTCAAGCCTGGTCTACAGAGTGAGTTCCAGGACAGGCTCCAAAGCTACACAGAGAAACCCTGTCTTGAAAAACAAAACAAACTATGGTGATATATTGTTTATGATCTAGTAAAGCTTGTCTGGAGATCACAATGCAAAGGTAGTCACAGCCATAAAAGCCAGGCAGTGGTGACACACACCTTTAATCCTAGCAGCCATACAAGTTAGCCATAGAATCTGGGTGGTGGTGGCACATGCCTTTAATCCCAGCACTAAGAGGTACATAAGACAAGAGTAGGGTCTCAAGCAGGCATTCCGTTTTGGGCAATTATTCTCCAGCCATGTTGAGGACAGGACTTCCCCAGCCTTGGTAGAGGTAAGAGCTCTCTGGTGGCCTGGGTGCTTTCTGATCTGCAGAAAATATCTGTCTCTGGGTTTTTATTATTCATGTTACATCAAACAAACAAACAAACCCCAAACCAAAAAACAAATAAAACAAAGAAAGGATCTATTTCACAAGTAATCTGTAAATGCTTTGCTCACATATTGTGGTCCTTTGGTGTAGAGTTAGCACTAGCATCCCTAAAGAATTATCACCAAGTTTTGATACAGAAAACAAGAAAGGTTTGGGACCAGGCATTTGTGCCCAATAATGCTGGTCATATGTTAATTTACAAGTTTATAGGGAAACCTTAGAATTTTTTTTCAAATTAGTGAAATCAAGTACATAACTTTGCAGCAAACCAGAAATTGATAACTGAACTTCTTGTTCGATTCTTGTGAAACATTCTGAAATGTCTACAATTTTATGTGCATACCATTACAGGAAACTTTGTATGCTTGGAAGTCAATAAAAAGCTTCCTTATCTTTATATTATTTTCAAAAGATATGTGCTTTTCAAATGATTTGATGCAGAGGCAATATAATCCATGGAAGGTGTCAGCTACAGTGTAGTGAACAGAATGGTCTCATTTTATGACTCTGTCACAATGGCACCACAGGACCGTCAGCAGCAATTCAGCACCTGGTAGCATATACCTGAATTCACAACCAGGTTCTTCTGTTGACTTTCCATTGAAAAATATCCAGGCCTTTCCTTTAAAAGAGAAGATGTAACTGATAGTGTGGTTAAATGACAGGAAATTTCATAAGAGATTACGTTCCTTGAGTACATGAATGTTCTTTTGGAGATACTTTTGTCACAAAATTTTATTTATAATTATAGAGGTTATAATATCAACTTGTTATATAATTTCCTTGATTACATATTGTATGATGGGTGTACATGGTGTGAGGGCACACACATGGAATGTACTCGGTCAATCT